TTGACCCAAATAAAAACCAATTCCGAATGAAATTACATGGTAAGTCTTATATTATTCCAACATTCAGCAAGACCCCATCTAGCTCAACTAATAAGAAAGACTTAAAAAAAAATACGTGAATTGTGAAAATTTGACTATCCATATAAAGGAACTTGAAAAAGCACTATTTACTAGTGTTCAAACCAATTTAGAATTTATTGGATATTATAATGATTTGCGTAATCAGTATAAAGAAGAAATCGATTCTATATTTTTGAATTAAGAGTAGATAGTTTAAAAATATTAGCAAGTACAATTGTTCTAGTTTTTTTAGCATCTTTTTGCGTTCTTTTAAAAAGTTCTAAAGGATCTTCAGTTTCTTGCGTGATTTCAGGTGATATAGTTTCTAATATTTTATTCACCTTATCGATTGAACCATTACTAATAAAAGATTGATCAGAATTATGAATAAGCTTAGACCTGGATTTTATATTTTTAACAGATTTAGTACATGCTTCATTATTTGAATCAGAAGGTGGAAAATCGTCCCAATTATCAAGATCCTGTTGAAGATGCTCATTATGTTCCCATATTTCATAAACATGACGAGCACCAATATGAAATTTTTTTGCCATTCTCTTTGTTGCATTTAATACTTCCCCCATGATTCTTTAATTTCTTTAATATCAGATTCAGATAATTGAGTCATATTGGACCGATAAAATTTTTGTTAAATATGAGTGATCATTTTAAGATTGATATATTAGAAAAAAAAAAAGTATCAATATTTTTTCAAAACGTATTGATACGTATTGATTCCAATAGTATACATATTGATGAGTATTGATAAGTATCAATGAGTATCAATAAGTATTGATGCATATTGTTTCTTTTTTTTTTAAATAAGAATTAGTAAATATCAATACATATTGAATCAAATAATTATGACCAATGTATGTACAATGCGAGATATCAACTCACCAAAAGGATATCGACTTAGGAGTACTAGGGAAGTAAAACTTGAAAAAGCTTTACATAATAGTTGTATAACCAATTCTGAACTTATTGAGGATTTTAAAAACTACCAGAAGGTATATTCAAAGTTTAGTAAAAATATTAAACATGATAAAGTGCAATTATAACTTGATCTAAATCAAACCAATAAAGATAAAAAGAAACTTTTTAAACATAGTTGTCAACTTTTTAATGAGGTTAAACGACTGAAAGTAGACAATACTAATCTTATATCTCAGATTACCTGATCACTGATTTCCCGTGATGAGTATAAAACAGATATGATATCCAATTAAAAGAAATAAAATCACTCCAGGCTATAATTAAGATATTGGAGGGTAAGTTAGCATCAGCCCAAAAAGTCGCATTTTCGATTCAGGAAAACTTATCAAAAACAGAATCTGAGAATTTATTCATTAAATCTAAAATAGGTAAGTTTAAACAAATAGAAGTTGAATTGGAGCGTGTGAGAAGTGAACTCGATCATCTGAAATCGGAGGCTATATCAAAACCTGTAGTTCCAAAGGAACATGATTCGAAGAATTGCCTAATGGCTTGCTCTGCAATAATTAATAGAGGTGATGAAGGGTAGAACCCTATTGTTTCCACAATAAAAAATATATCAAATTCTGGAGACACATCTGAATCAAAAAGTCTCATGAAGTATCTTGTAAGTAAAAAGAAAATAGAACAGGCAGAAAAAATAAATACTTCTCAAACTAGTCAGAAGTCTTCAACTAATAATATATCCAATGTAAAAAATGATCTAATAATAAGAAAAAACGAAACAATATCAATTATTGCAAATAAGCAGAATCCAAAATCTTCGATTCAAAATATTAAAATAGGAGGGGCATTAGATGCTGAAAAATCTCTCATTAACAATAAGTATCAAACATCTCCAATTATCAAGCTAGATATCTTTGTCCTAATAGTGATATTTATTATATGGATTCTATATAGGCTTTTTCTATACAAACACAAATCAGAACATAATGAAGGTCTAACCTTAAATGCAAACAAATATTCGTCACAAATTATTAAGAAATATATATTATCTTTTCATAGAAATAAACATGCAGAAAATGAAACTTTACCTTATGGATATGGATGAAACCACAAAGTATAAATCATTCCGAATTCAGTCCCATCCTGCCAGCCCATCATGGCCATTTAAAATGATAGTTATGGGGAAAAGTGGATTAAGTAAGACTAATATCTTAACAAATTTTTTTTTCAGCAATAAAGCTGAATATATATACAAAGCTAAAAAAGGTGGGTCACGATATATTTCATGCGATGATTTGATAGTATGTGGTTACTATCCTGATGAGCCAAAATGGATATTCGTTAGATACATGTATGGAATAATTGCAAGTAATCCTAAAGCACCTTATTATGAGAATATTAGATTCAGATATATATCACCAGAAAAAATTCCTAGTGTAAAATCATTTTCACCTAAGAGAAGTACTGTAATTATTTTTGAGGATTTATGTGTCGCTCCAGAAACAATACAAAATCAAATTATTCCATTCTTTATGCATGGGCATTATCAAAATATAAGTCCAATCTATATAATGCAAAAATATCACAAAGTTCCAATTATTATTCGTGAAAATATCTTTCATTTAGTGATATTTAACTCAGGTAGCTCATATGAAGATATTTCAAAAATTATAAAACGTTATACTAATGATGTAAAAAATGCTTCAATGGTTATTAACACCTATCTTCGCAAAGGTGAATTTATTGTATTTGACCTAGATAGGCCTGAGGATGATCCGCTTGCAATTAGATTTGCAAAAGGAAATTGAATTAAGACAAAAACACAAGACAAAAAATACATTGTCGGCTGAATCCACGAATTCTGAATCTGAAAAAGGTCAAGATAATTGATATGAGTTTCTGACTAGTTTATTAAAGTATAACAATCAGATAAGTATTTTTTTCCATGACTCAAAGAGTCTGGGCTCTGCCCATTATTTATTAATATAATAATAAAGTATATCTTATCTGCCACTCTATTTTAAGAGCTGATCGAATCCTGCCGATTTGTAGTTAGAGTAGATATAAAAACAATTAACGTGAAAAAAATATATAAAGCAGATAAATAGATAAGTTATATGTTGTTATATGTTGTTATATATTGTTATATGTTGTTATATGTTGTTATAGCGGAGCTAGTGTCTCTGACACATTAATGTAGGTAATAAATCATTTTATTGGTATTAATACCTATACATTATTGATTTGACGCATTTCTGCTCTAATATTCAATCGAATAAATAGATTTGATAGGTATTAATGCACTGTGTATTACACTTCTAATTGCTGGAGACGCTTACTGAATCTATCTCGTAATTGGTTTTTCTTTCTACCTATCCAATCGTATGGAATATAATATTCTTCATATTCTCTTACATAAATATCCAAAGGAATTCTCAAATTACATTGTTTATACATTGTAATCCATTTAGTACGCCATTGATCAAATTGTTCTCGAGTCTGAGGATTTTTTATTTTACGTCGGGTTAAACCTAGAAATTTCTTATCATCAGGAGTATCATCATTTGGTAAACTATTCCAAGCAAGTTTTGCATTTGATGGTGCTCTTTCTTGGAATCGTCTATATACCCGTTGAATAATTCTTGCATATCCATCTTGAGATTTAGGTTTATCACACTCATGATCCCAATGTTTCTGCATCAAATCATCTGGCTTAATAATTTCGACATATCTATTTCTAGCATAATGGAATGACTTTGTTAGTTTTACATTATCAACATAAATAAGCTTCATACAATCTAGACATATAGCCACGTTGGCCTTATGAATTCTAGGCCTGTAGTAATCATGATTAATTAGCTTAGAATTTCCAAATCCACCAAATAAACTATATACATGATATACGCTTCTTTTCTTTTCAGAAACCAGCTCTTGTAACGGAATTCTGACCCGAATAGCCCATTGTTGTGGAGTTTCATTGGGTCGAATAACTGATAAAGTATCATATTGTCTTTCAGTCTCATAAAGATCATCAAAGTATCGTTGATAATCATTAATGCCACAATAATTGTAGATATATGACTCAACATATTTCATATCATATCCCGGTCTATTATTAATGAGTTTCTGCGATTTAGCTTTTTTATCAATAATAATAGAAATATTAAGACCTGACATATTTAGTTATTTATATCGATTTTTACCTATTTGATTTTATACTTTAGAATATTTCGATTCAATTTTAGTGCAGATCAGATTCTCTTCAAGAGTGTTATATTCATTATATTTCGTGGGTATTTGTGATAAAAATAAGAAAAATGTATATGTATATTGTTTGAGTTGATCATAAAGGGTTATTTATTGCAATAGTGAATTTCCATATTTCATGAATTCGTGTATAGGATATATTATATTTTTTGGCTAATATTGGTTACTGTATCCTTAGCGGTAATTATATCACTACGTATATTTTTATTAAAGGATCGATTTTGTCACGTGTTATTGACAATCTTCCAAACTTTTACTCTTCTGTTGATATGTATGGTATTAATTGACTAGTGAAAACTATTTCTCCATTAGTATATCCCGCGAATGGAGTATGCCGAAACAACTTCAAATCTTCATCTGCCTTTTTAAATTCCTCGTAAGCATCATTATCTTTTGGCCCTCCCCCAGGAGTAAAAAGCGTGAAGTCCCAAGAACCTACTTCATCTACTAATTGTTTAGCACTTGGTCTTTTCTCAGGATTGGTATACCAACACTTCTGCATAAGTCGGGAGTAACGCTTTGGGATGATATAATCAATCGGGGGACGCCACCCATCAATAATTTTTCGGCCGATGTTTATATTATACTCTTTAGCATATTCAGCGAAGGGCATTTTCCACATAGCCAGTTCCCACATTACAATCCCGAATGCGTAAATGTCACTTTCCTTACTCTTTGGTGATCCTTGAAGAATTTCAGGTGCCACATATTGCCAAACGCCAAATAATGTCCCAGTCTCTGATGGTATCAACGAAGCAGGGTCATCGATATAAGTGAACAAGTCATCAATAAGAATATTTCCAGGATGGAGGTTGCCGTGTACCAAAGGAGACTTATGGAGCAAATTTAGATAAAGAGCAGCTTGGTGGAGAACTGAAATTCTAAGTGACCACGGAGTTGGTTTTCCCATCGAAAGTTGTGTTCTAAGACTTCCATTTCTGGAAAATTGTGTGACAAGAAAATATTCCCCGCTAATAGGGTTTTTAGTAAATCCGTAAAAAGGACAAGCTCGAGATGAGTTATCTTTTTTAAAAATCTCACGGAAAAGTTTAACCTGTAGTTGTACACAATAATATACTGTACTTAATATCAAATTCGAATACTTATACGAATTTAAACGTTTGGTACCTTGTTGAGAAAAGTTTCAGAGATGTTTCTTCCGATGCTTTTAAGAGTTACCTCAGAATTTTGTATGCGTGTTTTCACAGAATAAACGAGTTTAGGTCTACTGAGAACTTCTAGGTCCACGAGATTCAAAGAGTTAGATGAAGGTTGTATCCAACGGCGTCCATCTGGCCAATAAGCAAAGTAAGTTTTGCCGAAACCATTAATCGATAAAGGAGTTATCTTAGTAAAGCGTTTTGAAGGAATGAACTCAAGATATCTGTCATATTTTTCGGTCCGTTGTGTCGTTTGAATGAATTCGTCAATCTGATCGTTGCCACTAGTCCATTTTGAAAAGTTGGCTATTGTCTCTTTGAGATCACATTTGTCGCAAAATTGGTTTCCGTCTTCATAGCTTTCACCGCATTTTGAACATTTGAAAGATTTGCGCACTGGTGTTGGATACCCGGCTCTAAAAGCAATTGATGTTTATTCAGTCATCGAAAAGAGGATGATAAATTTCATTGATAGTTACTGTTACTGAAATTTATTCCAAAGTTGATAAACAAAAAGAGCTAATTGAACCTACTTGGGGAATATCTCTGCCATTGCAAAAAAAAAAAAATTTGTACGGATACGATCTTTAAAGGCTTTCATTTTTATGTCATCAGGAAGTTTTTAGGTAGATCAGTCCACACAGATTTCTTGGAATTCTACACAGATTTCTTGGAATTCTACACAGAATTTGCGTGGATAGATTTTCACAGCAGAATTCCACATATTTTATTAAGGAACCAATGAACTTCCACGTAGGTATTTGGAAAACATTGTGTAGAAAACAAAACGTCATCTAATAATTAATTTCAACATAAAGTAGGCCCTGAATATGATTATATCACACTATTTCTTTTTTGTCACCTTCGTTTGTATACGTACAGTCACGACAAAAAGTGTTGCACGATTATCAATTAAAAAATTTTTTTAATTTATTTCTATATTTATTTCTATTTTTAATTTATATAT